AAAAATTTAGTTTCTTGAAGATTATCCAGTGTAATGACGTATAACTAACAATGAATATGAGGTTCAATCAGATCGCTGGGAAATACTGAGAAACCTAATGGATTTTTTAGATTCTAGCTAGACGGAGAAAGCTTTTCCATTTTCTTTCTGAATCAAAAATAAATTTTAAACTTTTTAGATCCAGTATTTTTGTGGTTGATGTTACTGGAAGGATAAAGTCAACTAACTCGAAGCCTAAGAAGTTTTACAGCTGACGTTCTAGCAGGATCTCCTATTTTTTCTGGTCAGCGTTTTTTAGCGAGTTAGTTTTCCACAGGATGAGGTCGGTAAATCCATGCCCAACCCTCCTCCTTTATCCGGGCTTGGGAACGGCAGTAGCATCAGAGGACCTCCAGGCGGAGTATTTATAAGCTATTAGTCAACACCTCTATATATTACTTAAATGACTATCGAAATTGTGTGAATTTTTTAAAATATTTTTACTTCCAAATGTAGATCAACTATACTCACTGACGCCTGTTACCCCCCCCACCCAGTGGAGCATAGGCCGCTGACCACAATATTCTAAATCACTATGTCCTCAGCCTTCTTTTCTAGTTCTATTCAATTGTTGTTCGTTCTTCTCATGTATGTCTTCATTTCTCGGTGTGATGGGTTCTTTGGTCTTCCTCTTCTCCTCCTCCTTTGGCCTTGAGGATTGCAAGTGTGGACGTGCCTTGTGAGGTAATTGGGTGCTTTCTTCAATACGTGTCCTATCCACTTCCAATGCTTCTTGCTGATTTCTTCCTCTACTGGAACCTGGGTTTATTCTCTCCCACAGTAGGTTATTACTGATAGTGTCTAGTCAACAGATCCGAAGTATTTTGCATAAACAACTGGTGATAAACACTTGTATTTTCTCTACGTTGTCGCCACATACAGTAGAACTGTCTCGACATTTGTATTGAAAATTCTGACCTTAGTGTAGGTTGACAGTTGTTTCGAGTTCTAGATGTTCTTCAATTGTAGATATGCTATTCTTGCTGTGCCGATCCGCGCATTCACATCTGTATCAGACCCACCGTGTTCGTCAACAATGCTGATCAGATACACAAAGGTTTTTAAGTCGTGTAAAGCTTCTCCGTCAAGCGTGATTCGATTGTTCCGTGCTGTGTTGTGTCGGAGAATCTTGCTTTTCCCTTTGTGTATGTTGAGACTTACTGCTGCTAGGCTGCTGCTACACTGGACGTTTTCTCCTACATTTGTAGATCAACTATAGAACTATTGTAAATCTCAGAAGTCATTTATCTTCGTATTTCAACTTTATTATAAGGGAACCATTAATAATTGAGATTATTTATACCATTCATTTCAATATATCTTTATCAATGTTGATTAGTCTATTTCAATATTGTTGTTTCTATTCGTTTATTATACAGATTCATTCATTCATTCAACAATAGAAAATCAACTAGATCAATCAAGATTCAATCTGGAAACATTCAAAGGAATTCATTCATCTAATCCAACTAGTTTACAACAAAAAATTCAATCTAACAAACAACAACTATTAAATTCACATTACAATTCAATGGATATCACTACAACTACTACTGATAATATTAATAGTAGTAGTAGTAGTAGCACTAATGGTAGTAGTAGCAGTAGTAATACTACTATTACTACCATTACCACTAGTCCTATTAATAATATAATGAAAATATGTTCAACACCTATGGAAATATTAATGAAAACTTATGGTAAAGATAATTTTACAAAATTATCATCGAAACAAAATGTATTACATCCTTCTCATTCACAACAACAACAGCAACAACATACTACTAATAATCATTATTCAGAAATGAATCACACACTACTTAATTCTATATCATCATCAGTATCAATGATGAATTCTATGGATCATTATAATCATCATCATTCTAAATTAGATGAAAAATTAAATGATAATAAAAAATTGGAAGAAATAGAACAACATTTACACCGGAACAATTAGAAATACTTGAAGAAGGTAAATACTGATTATTTAAGTAGTCAATAAGATTATCTTTGAATATATTAATCTGTTTCATAGATATGACTCTGTTGTTGCTGACTGATTGACGGTTTCATAGATCAGTATAGAGTTGTGGAGATGATTAAGATTATTGAGATCATAAACTGATTGATGTTAGACCACTATTGAAAACCTGGAAGCACTGGACGGCCAACTCCTCCTATTGTGGGAGGGCGCATCCATAATCCCGATCTCGGGATTCGAACCCAGGTTCGTCAGTCTCGCGCACGAACGCCTAACCTCTAGACCGCTGAGCCCGCCGGCATCCAGCGGTATTTATGTCTAACTTTAACCAATCTGCGGAATTGTGCGACCATATTCTATTGTACTGAGTTACATACCTGTCTCTGTTCGATACGAATTAGCTCCACTGGTCACGGCTTCTTACTAGAACTCCGAGAATTCCATCACGAAACTAGTCACTAGTGAGCACATGGTAATCGTGAGTATAGGGTTGTGGAGATTAGTAAGTTATTGATTGAGATCATGAATTGATTGATGTTCGACCACTATTGAAAACCTGGAAGCAGTGGACGGCCATTTCGTCCTGTTTTGGGACTCCTCAGCAGTGCGCTGTGAACTGTTATGTTTAGAGTATTATAAAGTGTATTCCTCTTTCAAAATACTTGCGATTTATGCCAATACAATTATGAAATTTACTTAAAGATTGAATAAAGCATCAATGGGAGTTCTTAGAAGTGGTGTTTACAAATGCTACATAGTTTTATATTTTATTTTCTAACCATTTTTAATGCATTATTTCAACAACAACAACAAGAAGAAGAAGAAGAACAGCCATAAAGGTTACTCGATGCTGATTTTGTGGATTTTCTAAAAAATCTTCTTGAGTTCCACCAAAAATTTGATATGAAATCGTTAGTTCCACTGATTTATCAATATTACTTCAAGGTGGTCATCTTTGTATGATTTTTAAGCACAACTAAACTTTTACCTTCATTTGGTATTATTTTATTTGAATCTTCCCATTGATGTTTTTGGACTGTAATTGATCAGTCTCTTATTGGCACATGTGCATCCTGTGTGTGTTGCCTCTATATTGTATTAATTCACAAACATTATAAGAAGAGATGGATAGTGGCTAACAGTGGAATCCAGGACACATGTTTCATCTTATAAGAAACGGATCAATTGCTGTGATAAACATCAATGGGATGATTCAAGTAAACAATACTAAGTGATTTTAAACTTCACCACATTGCACAAGCAATGGATATTAAGACTTAATAGCTACGTGGTTAACGTGATGGTGTTTAAAGCGAACGTACTGGGTTCGAGTCCCAGAGTGAACATCAACTGTGAGACGCAGGTATGTGCAGCTAACGAGACCCAAATGGGGAGAAACGCTCATCCTAGGTTCCTTTGCTAGGCACATTCCATCTTCCTCATAAAATTTTACTGTTCTTTAAAATGCTCCTTAATATATTTCATATAAGGATTGTGAATATACATAGTTCCATAACTAATAAACTTTGTAGATTAGTTCGCCTATTTATGAGATACATTATGTAGTGTATATTACATGGTGAACTTGTGTTTTTGAATGTATAAGTGTAATTTATGGTACTATTGGATCAACTATTTGGAAAACGTGTCTCATACTTCACATTGATAACTACAGGTCACAATTTCATTTTAGAAGTTCGAGGAAATCTACATTGCAGCGATCAAATAATTATTTAATTTACTTACTCCTGTTACCTCTCATCGAGCAGCATTGGCCGCCTACAAACATTCTCCGCCTAACTTTGTCTTCGGCAATCCTTTCCAGTTGTTATTCATTATTTTGATATCAGCTTCCAATTCCTGACGCATTGTTATTTAGTCTTGCTCTTCTCCGTTTCTCTTCAAGACTCCAAGTCAACGCTTGCTTTGCGATATAGTTTGATGATTTCTGTAATGTATATCCTATCAACTTCCACCGTCTCTCCCTAATTTTCTCTTTACTAATTAGTAACCATATGTTTGTTATTAAATCCACAAAGAACCTAATATTTTTTAATATATCAATGTCGAACTAACCTTTTAGGCAAGAAAATGACAATTCGTGTGTAGTATTCATCACAGATTGATCTCAGTCTGAGAACCACTGAAAACCAGGGAAAACTAGACGAATGTTTCGTCCTAGTCTGTGACTCCTCAGAAATGCTTGCCTATAACTCCAACACCATGGTTAATACATCTTGAAAGCTATCAGAAAATTATTTTTTCAATAACTTCAGGGTATTTTGTAGACTCCTTCTAATCAACACCTTACATATCAGTGCTTGTATGCATTATGTATTTATTTATTTAATCACATAAACATCGGTACAATGAGGCACCAAATATATATGAGCCACGTGAATCATTCGATTTGTGTAAGGGCTGGGACACTGCCCGGGTGCCCAAATCGAACAAGGTGGTTTTCTTAGGGAGCCACACCCGGAGCTTTCGATCTAAATGTTTGATCCACAAGACAGTGGAGCAACGTAAGGAGATTCAGTACCATGGTAGCGACTGTCCTACAATAGGTGCATACGCCATTTGTTTCCTTACGATCCTGGAGCCTATGTACACCATTGGTTTAGAATTAGGATTTTATAACTCCCCTAGGTGGACTCTCTGTGTCGACCAACCCGGTTAAAGCGCTAGACATTCGCTTTTCATCCTCTCAATTTCACGAGAAGGCAGACAGTAGGACTTTCTTGGTAGCGGTTGTATACACGTGGCCATGTGAGAGCATTTCGAGAGGGAGAGAGAGAAAGCAGACTCTCCCCACTCTCGATTGTATCAGAGCATTTGGGAGTCTTACATGCATTATAATTATATATATTTAGTTTATAATAATAACAACTACTATTCTCATCATGTCTTGTTTGTTTTTTTAGAATTTGAACGTACACATTATCCTGATTTAATGATTAGAGAACAATTAGCAGGATCAATGTTAATACCTGAATCACGTATACAAGTATGGTTTTCAAATCGTCGTGCAAAATGGCGTCGTGAAGGTAAAGAATTAAATCACACCAAACAAAATAGATCATCAAGATCACCAAGTTTAGATGATAATCAAACTAATGATCAACATTATAATTATTCAATATTGAATAAAGTACAAGATTATTCTAGAATGAATGATCATCATGAATTAGATCAATTGAATTTAATTAAACAAAAATTAAATTATGAACAAATGAATCAACATTCTACTATAGTTTATCATCATGATGATGATTATCATCAACAGAATAAACAAAAAGAAGAACAAATAAATATGATTAAAAAAGAATATGGTAATATGAATTGGACATATATGTCTACACCAATTCATCAAGAGGTAAGTCGTTGTATAAACGAATAATTGATGTTAATAACTTGGAGCACCCTGTGGAGCTACTGCTGGTTCCAACCCCGGATAGAAAGGAGGAGGGTTAGGCATAGTGTTAACACTCTCATCTCCTAACTCACTAACAAAAAACTAACTAGAAAAAATAATTCAAACCATTTAAACTCTCCCCTGAGAGTTAGAAGATCTTCATTTAGAAGAGTTATGATGCCACATGATGAAAGCTGAATTCCTTCGGATGTCCCTTCTGACAACTAGAGCAATCATTAATTTAGCTACATGGAATGCTCGTACAATGTAGGAGACCGAGAGAGTCATACAAATTGCTCCAAAATATTGTATTTCATCAATCTCACCGTTTGATTGATTAGAAAACATCATTAGATCTTACTCACAGACTGAGCATATCAAAAGCTGTATAGATAAACTTGATATGAAAATGTAAATGAATAATAAGTGATTTATCAGTATGGGGGTTGTGGAGATTGTTAAGTTTTTTATTAAGATCATGAATCAATTGATGTTAGACCACCGTTGGAAACCTGGAAGCACTGGATGGTCGTTTCGTCCTAGTATGGGACTCCTCAACAGTGCGCATCCACGATCCTGCTCCCGAGCGATTCGAACCCAGAACCTATCGGTCTCGTGCCGGGCGCTTAACCAACTAGACCACTGAGCCGGCATCCAGTGGTGTTAGTGTCTAACATCAACCAGAGACAGGTATCTACCTCAGTACAATGGAAGTTGTTCACGCAATTTCGTGAATTGGTTGATGTTGGACACTAACACCACTGGATGCCGGCTCAGTGGTCTAGTTGGTTAAGCGCCCGGCACGAGACCGATAGGTTCTGGGTTCGAATCTCTCGGGGAGCAGGATCGTGAATACGCACTCTGAGGACTGATATTAATCAACATAGCTCACTAGTGATGGTCTCCAAAAGGTATTCCTGGAGTTCCATTGAGAAGCAGTGACCAGTGAAATTCAATCGTGTCTGTTTGAATAGTAACTCACTGAAGACAGTGGTGGTGTCGTTCAATTTCGTGGATCGATTGAAGTTAGACATTAATACCGTTGGATTCCTGCCAGCTCAGTGGTTTGGTGGTTAAGTGTTCATGCGCAAAAATAAGTCCTGGGTTGAATCTCACAAGGTACGATCGTGGATGCACACTTCTGAGGAATCTCATAGTCTAGTGCTTCCAGGTTTTCCATGGTGGTCTAGTTTCAAATGTCTCATGATCTCAAAGATTAAAATCACTATCATATCCACAAAACCCCTTCAAATATCTTATTGTTTAAAACCTATTTTGTTTTTATTATTTTCTTGACTACTACTTTTAAGCATCTATCACCTAAGAAACTATTCAATTATTCTGAACAATTTGATCCATTAAACGATCATATACCACGAGATCATTCAAATGTAATCAATCCAATTTCTAATCATCAAACAGAAACTTATACAATTTTAAATGATGTAACACGTTCAACTAATCATGAACATGTTTTATCAACAAAAATCAATTTAAATGATCCTATTCTATCGATTAATCATTATAATCATGATACAGATCATAATTCTGATCTAGATCATAGACAAATACAAAATATCATATCAAATAATAAAAGAGATGGAATGTTAATGATGAATTCAGATTTTACTAAATTAAATTGTTTATCATATAATAATCAATTATTAGAGACGATCCATACTGTGAATACGACTACTACTTCTACTCCTCCTCCTCCTCCTCCTCCTCCTCTCCTCCTCCTACTACTACTACTACTACTACTACAAATAATCATAACAGTGATACTACTATTAGTAGTACTACTAATAATAATAATGTAAATAGTTTAATGAGTAGTATACATACATTAAATAGAAATGATTCATTTGATATATCTCACAATCAAGAAAGACAAATTGATATAGAATTAATGGATAAAACACAATCTAATCATTCAGATTATCAACCAATATGGTTGAATTCAACTGATCAAATACATAATTACAAAACAGATTCAATAAATCCTTCATTATGGTATAGTATGACATATCCTCAACCAAGTACATTATCTACTGATTCTGGTATTGGTTCACCACCACTACCACTACCACCGCCACTACCATCATCAACATCATCATCATTGTCTATGCTTTCTAACAATGGTATCATCGGTAAATCACCTATTTCTATTGGATATGACAATGGATCAACTAATCATCTATTACCACAAATACTTCCTGATACATCATCTCAATTATCTTCTATGGCTGTAGCAGCTGCAGCGGCTGTTGTAGCTTGGAACAATAATACCAATAATTCAAACTATATTCACAATCAAAATGTAACACCTAAATCGATAATAACATCTAATGAATATGATATCATATTGAATTCTCATGAATCTACACCAATAAATTATGGATATTTAGACAGAATTAACTCAGAATTTAATTTAATATCGAATACTTCTACATCTTCAATATGTGCACCACCACCACCTTCATGTTGTTCTACTACTACTACTACCACTACTACATCTTCTTCTTCGTCGTCTTCGTCTTCTTCTCCATTGGCTTCAACATCTTCATTATCATTATCACAATCTTCTGCTTCTTCATGTTCTACACATAATAATACTATAATTAATTTTGATTTAAGTAGTTTAGTTAGTCAAACACCTAATGTAAACATCAATAATACTAATAATACTGATAATAATAACAATAATATAAGTAGTATAAATAGCACTTATTATGATTTTTCACGTTATTTTCATTAATTTATAAAATGTATTAAAGAACAACAAAAAAGAACAATAAATGAACTGAAAAATAATTTCTATGGCAAATTCATTCGTTTCTCATGTTTATTGTACTTAGTTAGTTACTTACTTAATTCATTACTTCCATACTTCCTTTACTTATCTACTTAGTAACTATTTTGTTGCACATCAATATCAAATGTTATTCACTACACAATAAGCCAAATTTTTAATGCAAATGGTAAATCACACTTTTATATTTGTACACTTACAGATTGATACCTATTTAGGCATATGTATGTATGTGTGTGTATGTATGTATGTATGTAGTATGTGTGTGTGTATGTGCAAATGCAGTATATTTAAAAAAACACAATTATTTTGTTGTAAACTAAAACTTGTACATAGAAACAATGAATTATAAATGTGATATAATAGCAATTATTAAATGACACAGTTTCTTCTATTTCATTTAATGGATACACTGAAAGATATAATTTCTTTCGTCATATATATATTACTGACTTACTTACACTTGGTACCCCCCTCAAGTGGAGCATAGGCCACTAACCAGAATGAATGGATAAAAAATGGTACGGCTGAGAGTGGGGAAATTTCTCTCTCCCTCTCGAAACGCTCTCACATGGCTACATGCATACAACCACTGTCATGCAAGTCCTACTCACTACCTTCTCGCGCCAAGGGTGTTTTTGCTGAATTGAGAAGAAGAAAAGCGAATTTCCGGTGCTCTAACTGAGTTAGCGGATACGGAGGATCCACCTAGAGGAATTGGTAAACCCTAATTCCATACAATGGTGTTCCAGAATACTAAGGGAACAAATGTGTGTGAACCTATTGTTGGTCACCGGCTATCATGGGACTTCGTCTCCTGACGTCACTCCACTGTCTTATGGATAAGACTTTTAGGTTAAAGACTCAGGGTGTGGCCCCCCGTGAAAACCACCCGCCTAGGTTGGGGGCCCGGGTAGTATCCCACCCACAAATCAAATGATCTGTGAGGCGCATATATATGATGTCTCCTTCTACCAATGTTTACGTGTTTAGATAACTAAATAAGATAGATATGTCTGAGTCTGTATCAAAAATCAGACACCGAAGTAATGTATATTGAGTTACTAAATTACAATTTACAACTATATTTCCAATAGATGTTCTTTTTCTAAATTAGCTGTTTAGTCAATTGATTTTGAAAGATTAGATTATTTATTTATTTGTAGGGACTGAAATGAACCAAAGTGATTGCTATGTATATCTTCTTACTTTAAAATTCAGGAAAAAATGGGGAACTATAATTTTACGTGGTAACATACTTTGGATTTTCAAGACTTTCCGTGTTAACACAATACCCTTAGATGAACTGATCTGGATCATCGAGTTGAAAATGTGGATTGTTAAGTTCCTAATCTAGAGTTTAAGAATCCTTATAGCCCCGATTGTTTATTTTAAACTGACCAAAGCTTTTGAGGGATGATTTTAGTAAAACTGACGTCATAATAGCAACAGTGTGTTTTTAATTATGAAATCACTGGCTCTGATTTCACTCGATCTAGTTAAATTCAAACATCCAAATTCTATCACGAACCCTCGCATATAAAGTGGAATTCAAGAGGTATTTCCTAGAATTCTAATGAGAAACAGTAACCAGTGAAGTTCAACCGGGTTTGTTGTGATAGAGTAACTCCCTGAAAATAATAGTGAACGGTGTACCAATTTCATGAATTGATTGAAGTTAAACATAAACACCGTTGGATGCCATCCTAATGGTCTAAAGATTAAGAGTTCATACGCGAAACTGATAAATCTCGGGTTCGAATCCCACGAGCGGTATCGTGGATGCACACTGTTAAGGAGTCCCATACTAGAACGAAACGGCCATCCAGTTCATCCAGGTTTTCCATGTTCGTCTAGCTTTCAAGTAATGAAATTACTACAATCTCCACAAAACCCCTTCCTGAAAATCTGAAAAAAAATTCACATTAATATAAAAAGACAACTCATTTTCTATTTTATAACGACTTGAAATATCTTCACTTTTTTTATTTATTTACAATTAGTAATCCCGTCATTATTATTATTATTACTCTAATGATCTGAAAATTAGATCATCCCCATTTGTAAATCGTATAGTTACGCGTGTGTGTGTATATGTGTGTTAGGTGTGTGCGTGAGAGAGGGAGGTGTGTGTGTGTGTGAGGGTGTGTTACTAATCAATCAGTGCATCAAACTCTTTCTATACACCTCTGTACACCTCTCCTAATACAAACCTGCGTTGTTCAATGTAGTTTCAGTGTGAATTTAGAATATAGAAAAGAATAGAGGAAAATAGAAGAGAAAAATAATTTGTAACGCAAAAACAATGTGAAAATAAGAAACCCAGAATGATATAAATAAACATACAAACATCAATGACGTATAAACAACATACACACATACATACATACATACATACATACATACACAATAATAATAAGTCGAAGCTAGTCAACTAAAGGAATGTTAAAAGCATAGAGAAAGAAGAAGGAAAATCTCTCTATATATCCACCCACTTGTTTTTATACCTACATACCTACATAGAGATACATACATACATACACAGATAAACGCCCTCATCCCTCTTCAAAAAAAAAAGACAACGACTAATAACTCTTCCGCCTCATTTGTCAATTTTCCGCAACATTGCGCACCAATCACAGATAAGGTCAGATGACTCCGATATATATAAGAAAGAGAAAATGAAATCAGCATAGATCATTAAATTTACTCCATTACATGATAACTGGTCAGATGGTTGCCTGATATTTTCAAGCTTAATCACTATTATTATAATATTAGAGTAATAATATAAATAATAATATCTGACTATATAGGGTATAATCAATCATTTGCCAAGCCATACCACTTCTCCCTATAAATAATAAAACATTTAAAAAACTTCAGAAAGTAACATGAATTCAATTATAGTTTCCAAAGTTATTCATAAACACACATATATACAGATTATAGAATTGTTCAGAATATTCTATTCAACAACAAAGTTTATATGGTTCTATCTTTTTAAAAAAATTCAACCTATAGCTCTTCTAAAGTTACTGCTGATCTCAAGCCCCGAGTAAAGGAGGAAGGTTGGATATGAGGTCGGCAACCCCAACCCAACAGAAAACAACCATGCTAAAAAAAAACAACTGTCAACCGGATTAAACAAATTAAACTATTTAAACTCTTCCTTGAGAATTGAAGGAAGAATTATGACGAAAGCTGAGATTCTTCGGAAATCACGAGGTTGATGTCTTGTTCCAACAATCAGAGCAAGAATTTTTATAGGTACATGGAACATCCGAACAATGTGGTAGATCCTCTTTTAGTTGAATCAGACATAAATAAATGTTTGCAGATGTGCTTTTGTATTGTGAATGGGTTTATCTGTTAGTGATTAGCTAAACATGAAACGAGACAAGTTAATTAGAATTTTATATCATTCAGTTGATAACTGATCACAGCATTTCTCATACTTAAACAAGTAAATATCTTATAAGCATGAATAATTTTAAACCTCAGAAATAAACGTCAGCTTAACTGATAGGTGTGTACTGATGAATAGTTTCATATTAAATAAGGAAACAACTATTCAATGTTCCTTGGTCTTAAATAGTACCCCCAATTAAGAATAATCTGTGATGAATACCACATTTAAATCAAAACAATCTTCATTAAAACCTATTTAATGACACCTTAGATTTATCACAATAGCTGTCTGTGCAAGATACTCAATATCCATTGGTCGGATACTATCAGCAACAGCCTTCTGGGGAGAGAGCAAACCAGCTTCCACCTGAAGAAGAAACTAGGAAAAGACGATGGAAATGGATAGGACATACATTATGGAAATCATCAAACTGAATCATGAAGCAAGCCCTAACTTGGAATTCTGAAGGGAAGCGGAAAAAGGAAGACCAAAGAACACATTACTCTGGGAAATAGAAGCAGATATGAAAAGGATGAATAACAACTGGAAAGGCTGGAAAAGGTTGTTTGGGACAGGGTTGGACGGAGAGTGCTGGTGGGCGGCCTATGCTCCTCCATGAGGAGTAACAGGCGTAAGTAAGTAAGTAAGTAAGTAAGTAAGTAAGTAAGTAAGTAAGTAAGTAAGTAAGTAAGTAAGTAAGTAAGTAAGTAAGTAAGTAAGTAAGTAAGTAAGTAAGTAAGTAAGTAAGTAAGTAAGTAAGTAAGTAAGTAAGTAAGTAAGTAAGTAAGTAAGTAAGTAAGTAAGTAAGTAAGTAAGTAAGTAAGTAAGTAAGTAAGTAAGTAAGTAAGTAAGTAAGTAAGTAAGTAAGTAAGTAAGTAAGTAAGTAAGTAAGTAAGTAAGTAAGTAAGTAAGTAAGTAAGCAAGTAAGTAAGTAAGTAAGTAAGTAAGTAAGTAAGTAAGTAAGTAAGTAGATGTATCCCGATTTAGTGAAGAGGTAACTTGGTAGCTAAGGTATATGACTTTCAACCTCTGAACAACATATTGGAACATTGTCCCACCTAGTCTGATTCAAGTAGCCCACGTTGTATCAATGGCTATCACAGATAAGAAGGAAGTGTAACTCAAAGGAAAATGCACAGATTTGTTTTTGAACCAAACAGTGTATTGGAATTAATCAGATGAAGTTGAAATTGAAATACGTAATCTAAATTCTGATTTTATCGTTTGATTGATTGATTATAACGATTCGCTTAATTTTTCGATGATTTTTTTCCATTTGTCGATGTCACATGAAAATCCATCGACAGTCTAAAGTTATCGGACATCTATTTTATTCCAGTTCCCCGGCGGTTGATAGTTATTACACACTCATACTATATTTCATGAATTGACTCAAATGAGTGGGTTCTTGTTTAGATTGCTAGAAAGGTTATATATATATATACTCTACTGGGAAGTCTAAAACCAAAATATGACAGTTGTCTAACATACCAACTTTGGCATACACAGTTGAGTAATAATGGGGTGGACAAGAACATCAGTGGAGACAACCAAACGTAGATTTTAAAACAAGTGGAATACATGTGAAAAATGGTTAAAATCGATATAAATCCTCCTTTTTAAACAAACGAATTTCGAATTAATTAATTTCTTAGAAAAATGAACAATGAATAAATTTATAGATTGAGATCATGAACCGATTGATGTTAGACCACCATTGAAAACCTGGAAGCACTGGATGGCCGTTTCGCCCTATTTTGGGACTCCTCAGCAGTGCGCACCTACGATCCTGCTCGCGGGATTCGAACCTAGGGCCTTCAGTCTCGCGCGTGACGAAATGGTCGTCCAGTTCTTTCAGGTTATCAATGATGGTCTAACATCAATCGGTTCATGATCTCAATCAAAAACTTAACAATCTTCACAACCCCTAAACTGATAATTAAAGTTATAACTAGATACGGTTCTCTTTCTCCAAATATAAAATGTTACTTCAAGATTGGTTTATGTCGTTAACTGAATCAGGGATAGGGAGTGAAGTAGTTAAATACATAAACCACTTACTTATCTTAAGTTTGTTATCAGTACTGTTGGTTTGGTGTCTGATAAAATTCCGGCATAGATTCAGAGGGTTCGGTCGGCTCTTGTCGACTTGCATCACTTGTAGCGTAGGTGAGATATTCGTCTTTTAACCAAAGGGCAGATTCTCACTAATTCAGTGATTAACTATGCAAATCATTACTTTTTAATAAAACTTTAAAGAAATTTATCTGCAATCTAATAAACAATCCTCATAAGATTTTGGTAGTTCTGAACTCATTATGATTATACTTTGAACATTTTAAACAATCATTTAAGATGCTGGCTGAGTGATCTAGAGGTCAAGTGTTCTCGAGTGGGACCTAAAATCTTAAGTTCGAATCCCCTGAGTAGGATTGTGGATACACACTGTTGAGGAGTTTCATAATAGAACAAAACGGTCATCTAGGAATCCATGGTAATCTGGCTTTAATTGACTAATCAACTCAACTATTAAATCATTTAAGAGTTAATGAATAAATCACTTTATTCAATAGTCAATGTTCTTTCTTCTTGTATTATATACAGATAGGGTAATACTGAATCGATCGATCATTTGTATAATTTTCAATATTACAATTATATATCTATATGTACAACTTGACAGGAAATGGATTAAATTATTTAGTCATTAATTGTTTTTTTTTTTTTGTTGTTGGTTGATTAGAGCAAATATAATCGATTTCTCTTTGGACTAAAATGATAAAACTATAATAACATGAAATTATTAAGTAGAGTATTTATCAGATGAATTTGTTTTAAGGATAATATATAATCAAAAGGGGTTTTGTGGTGATTTTGGAAAGTTCGGTGGTTGAAATCATGAGTCACTTGAAACTAGACCACTATGGAAAAACTGGAAGCACTCTGTGGTCATTTCGTCCTAGTATGGGACTCCTCAGCAGTGCGCATCCTAGATCCCGCCCTCCCGCGAGATTCGAACCCAGGAACAATCAGTCTAGCGCGCGAGCGCCTAACCATTAGACCACAAAGCTGGTATCTAAAGGTGTTAATGTCTAACTTCATACTAGGACGAAACGGGCATCCAGTGCTTCCAGATTTTCCATGATGTTCTAGCTTCACTTGACTCATGATTTCAACTATCGATAATATATAAGTGACTAGTTAAAACAATGAACAATAAATCCAGTGTGCGGAATCATGGATGCGCGTTGCTGAGGAGTCTCATATTAGGACGAAACGGCCGTTCAGTTCTTCTAGGTTTTCCATGGTGGTTTAGCTGTAATTGACTCACGGATTCAATTATCTTAGAGTCGAAGAATTTTTATTACAGAAAGTCTTTTATGAAAGTACAATCTATAAATAGTTCAATAGATGATTTCACATTGGATCTTTGCAATCTTAGAGTGTAGAGTTGCTGAAAGATTAATAGATACATGACTAAGGGAACAATAATCTAGGAATCAAATATATGAATAATTTCAAACGTTTCGTTGTTTGCGTGCTGTAAAACTCTTGATTATTCAATGTATCACTATAAAGACAACTTGGTTTATAGTATACTTTCAGCATATGTGAAATGGATCAATTGCTGCCTATATATACCGTTTGTAAGATGGCGGTTGGAAGTAATCAAGAAACTCTGGACCTAGGTTTCGTGCTATTTGGCACTTGTCAGTAAGGTGTACCTGTAATCTTGAGAGAACTGATGTTCTCTAACAGATCCGACCCCGTGTCACTCAGCTTCACAGTCAGAGACATTACCACTGGCTATCCGGGCGGCGACTGACCTCGTGTGGGACTGAGATGTATTTACAATTGATTAATCACTGGGTGGTGACCAATGTTATGTATGTCAGGTCCTTTTTAGTGCAGATCAAATCCTATAGACCAAGTTGCAATGTGGTGACACGGGATCGAATCCATCAGGGAGCACCAGTTCCCTCAAGGTTACGGGTACACCTTGCTGACGACTACCAAATAGCACAACACCCTGCTCTAGAGTTTCCTGTTGACTAGCTCCAACCACCATCTTATTTCAACATAGTGTACACAATATCGATTCACCTAGATTAGTGGCCACATTGCAACTTGGTCGATATCATTCGATCTGCACTGAGAAGGACTTGACACACATGACATTGACCACCCACCCACATCTAGCTGATGAGTGACAAGTAGGTCTAAACGAACTTCCAGGATTCCATTATTAGTCACTATCCATCTCTATTTACGATGCTTTTTTATCTCCATAAAACAAACAAACATGAAACCAACTTTGTTTATTACTCATATTGAATTTTCTTTTAAAGTGAATATGTGTACTCGTATATGTTTCATTTTAATATGATATAATCAATAAGAAAATAATATCCAAATAAACCACTATTAACTAATAAATACTGATTATTTTAAAGAACTGACAAAAACAACTGGTTCATATTCCCAGACTTATAAACATGACAAATTTAGAAAGATAGAAACTAGAAAAGAACAAAACAAAGAGAGGGAAGTCAACATTTTTAAAAGTAGGTAGGATAAAAGATTGATTTGTTTTAGTTGACAGTAACTAAGGTTGTTTTTTTAAAAAAAAATAACAAGCGTTACATAAAACAAGAGAGAGAGGGGGGGGAGAGAGATTGGAAAATCTAGTAGTCCTAGCAGACCGAAGCGGTTATTGATCAACATTGTGGTGAGGGTTTTTGTTTTTCTAAACTAATGTCAGCTGGTGTAAAAAATGTTATGAGCTTTGTCTATTATCAAGATTATTTAGGGAAAAAAATATTTTAGCTTTCAGAAAACATCTTTCATTTTAATGTTACACTGCTGATAGAATTATCTCTAGGAAGACCTATTAGATCTGATGCAAACCAGAGTGATAGTCATCAACTGTGTTATAGCCAGTGTGCAAAGGTGGATACTAAACTTGTTTGTAGTATGAACATGAAGAAGCAGATCATCAACAAACTACTTTCATTAGATGATTTGAAGATAATCACCTCATTCAATTCCTAGTAGTACTGAGCTACGATCTGTTGCACAAAAAACAAATCGTACCCATACCTATGTGTGTACTATGAGGTGTATAAGTCGCTGACTTGTGTATTCGATAATATGCATGCAACGTATACATACGATGCTATTAAACAAATCTCATTCTAGTGTATAGATTATTGCACTTATCACTTTTGAACTGTTAAAAAGTTTATCGATAGAAATGTCCCTAGTGTAACTGTACAGAAGTAGACTGGTAACGTGTTCGTTCGCTTCATAAAGTATAATCGCCTTAAAATCCCTAATTATACACGAATCGAAACAAACTAGACCGCTAACATATCCAATCCATTTAATCACTTCAATGCTTCAGTTTCGTATATCTTTGTTAAAGTTCTTCTCTCTTCCTGAAAGGTCAATAAGCTTTCCAACTCCTTTTTGGACAGAATCAACTAAAATCATTTATATTATATTTGGATGATTTGTAGGATGATGATGATGATGATGATGATGATGATGATGATGATGATGATGATGATGATGATGATGATGATGATGATGATGATGATGATGATGATGATGATGATGATGATGATGATGATGATGATGATGATGATGATGATGATGATGATGATGATGATGATGATGATGATGATGATGATGATGATGATGATGATGATGATGATGATGATGATGATGATGATGATGATGATGATGATGATGATGATGATGATGATGATGATGATGATGATGATGATGATGATGATGATGATGATGATGATGATGATGATGATGATGATGATGATGATGATGATGATGATGATGATGATGATGATGATGATGATGATGATGATGATGATGATGATGATGATGAGATGATGATGATGATGATGATGATGATGATGATGATGATGATGATGATGATGATGATGATGATGATGATGATGATGATGATGATGATGATGATGATGATGATGATGATGATGATGATGATGATGATGATGATGATGATGATGATGATGATGATGATGATGATGATGATGATGATGATGATGATGATGATGATGATGATGATGATGATGATGATGATGATGATGATGATGATGATGATGATGATGATGATGATGATGATGATGATGATGATGATGATGATGATGATGATGATGATGATGATGATGATGATGATGATGATGATGATGATGATGATGATGATGATGATGATGATGATGATGATGATGATGATGATGATGATGATGATGATGATGATGATGATGATGATGATGATGATGATGATGATGATGATGATGATGATGATGATGATGATGATGATGATGATGATGATGATGATGATGATGATGATGATGATGATGATGATGATGATGATGATGATGATGATGATGATGATGATGATGATGATTAATATTGAAGGTTTCAAATACCACATTGATGTTCAATGAATTCAACCTATTTAATACCACTAAATAAGAAATTAATGATTGATATATACCTTCGTAATTGTCAATATTTCTCACTTAATAAATTACAGAGAAAATCGTTGTCCAGCTAATTTATATAAATCTATTAATTAATGATAACTTTTAGGGGAAATGAATGATTACACACTGATTTTCACATGGACACATTCAATACTTTCAAAGAATTCTTCTTTTTTATGGGAGTGGGGGGTAGGGTCGGGTGGTGTGATGTGGGGTATTCAACTGATATCTTCCTTATCTATATAATTGAGTTTATTTGCGATTAATGATAGTGGACTATTGTGGGAAGAAGATTAAGTGGTTTATTATTATTATTATTTGAAGGATAAAACATTCAGACAAATTCCTGTATGCCAGTACATTCATCTAATACTGATAGGCTTATTTTTTAAAACCGGAACTATCTTGTCTAAGTGAGTACTTCAAGTGCATTTGTCTATAGTAATTTGTTTGTTTTTTATCATATTGATTATTGTTTAGACATTCGTCAGTGTACACTTCTCTATGCTCAACTTATATATACATCTGTAATAATTATTACCCACATGAAAATTTCCTTTCATCTATTTGTATTACCATTACTACCATTATTATAAGTTAGTACAGAAAAAATCTCTATCCACCCACACATCAAGTAAGATGATATATACACGCAGTGTGTTTGTACCCATTTGGATAAATCTTAAAATATGTGGGTGATATGTTGACGAGTAATGATGAAGTTTATTCAAATTTAACATGGGTTGGTTGGTTGGTTGGTTAGTTGTTTCTGTCCTAAAATAATGAAGAAGATTTGTAATTTATGAAAAGAATTTTGAAAGTGTTCTATGTTTCGAATCGAATGATCTAATCGTAAAACTTTTATTATATCTATAGGTAAATACTTCATAGACCTTTTTGTTTTACAGTATTAACTGTATAATTCAATCATTCAATTTGGAGAATATAACCCATTTAAGACGAGTGTCTCGTCCTATTTGGGACTCGTCAGCTGGATGTACCTGTATCTCAGAGTTGATGTTCCCACTTCTCGGGACTCGAACTCACTACCACTCGCGTTATCCACTTAGCTAGTGAGTTGTGAGAGCCACCTATTTGTGCAAAGCGGTGAACTTTAAATTCAATTGCTATTATTTGCTTGAATCTTCTGATTGTTATTTAGGACTGTAATTGATCAGTCTCTTATTGGCATATGTACATCCTGTATGGATTGCTTCGATATAGCCTAATGTCACAAGCATTATAAGCAAAGATGGATAATGTATATTAATGGAATCCAGGACATATATGCCAACAAGAGACTGATCAACTACAGTTCTAAATAACAGTGGAAAGATACAAGTAAAACAACACCAAGTAAATTTATATTTTTTACTCTATTCTAATGATCCTATTTCTACTCATGAATAGTGGATTAGTGATTTTATATCACACCTAAACAGATAATGAAGATGTTACTAATGAATAAGGTTAAGAAGTATTACTTACAATTTTGAAAGGTTACCAACTTGTTATAATTAATTAATGAACGATCAATATTTAAATTTACGTTGGGAACTTTAGTCGAACAATCTATAACTAAATACTGAATAGTCGTTCTGATTAACTGTTGTAATAGGGTTAGCATTATTTTTTTATCAGAATGGGTTTTGTAGAGATTTTTAGAAACTTAACTTGTTGAAATCATGAGTCATTTGAAGCCAGACCACCATGAAGAACCTGGAAGCACTGGACGGCTCCTTCGCCCTAGTACGGGACTCCTCAGCAGTGCGCATCCACGGCCCCGCACTCCGCGAGATTCGAACCCAGGACCTATAGGTCTCGCGCCAGGCGCTTAACCAACTAGACCACTGAGCCGGCATCCAACGGTGTTAATGTCTAACTTCAACCAATCCACGAAGTTGCGCCACCGTACACCATTGCCTTCAGTGAGTTGTTATCTCACAACAGACCTGGTTGAACTCACTGGCAACGGCTTCTCACTAGAACTCCATGAGTATCTTTTGAAGTCAGTCACAGTGAACAGGTGATTATTATTATCAGAATGGGTTTTGTGGAGATTTTTTTTACTGAGATCATGAACTGATTGATATCGGAAAACCATGGAAAACTTGAAAGCACTGGAAGGTCGTTTCGTCCTATTGTGAGACTTCTCAGCAGTGCGCATTCACGATCCTGTTCGCGGAAATCATCTCCACAACCCTATACTGATAATTAACATTAGTTATCATAAATGTGCCAATGACAAGAAGAAAACATACATTTGTGACTGAGTACATAGTTGACTAAAATACTCTTTACTTTTAACAGTATGATTTCTCTTAACGATAAAGGAAGCTTTAATAAGTTAACTAACATCTACTTACATGTTAGTGGATGACAAAACATACATTAATTTACATCATCGGTATCACTGTCATCATCACTAAGAAAAAAAACTTTTATTTTATCTCTTGTCAAGTTGTTCCTAGTCAATAAGATTCGATAACTAGTACTAATCCACAATGTTGCTGTACTATCCTTCAAATCTTGTTCATTATCGTTCTCTGTCACTTTCATTCATGTCATTGATATAAAGTTAGTATACTGATTTTATAACCATAAAAAATCATTGAACATTTAATGAAGTCAACATAAATAAAAGATATTTGTTATAAACATTAGTCGTGTCGTGTTGAGACAGTTATCCATTTCAGATAATAGATGATGGGTTGTAGAAGATCATGAATCAATTGAAGTTAGACATTAACATTATTGGTTGCCAGTTTTAAGTGGTCTAGAGTTTAAGCGTTCATGTACGAAGTCGAAGATCCTGAGTTCGAATTCCTCATGTGGGATAATAGATGCTCACTGATGAAGATTTTCATACTGTGACGAAACAATCGTCCAGTACTTAGATGTTTCTTAATGATAGTCTGACTTAGATCAACTCATTGTAAATACCAATATACATATTCAAGTTGTGATTAATTTATCTCTTGTAACTTGGATAAACTAATCATTATTTAAAATCCCATAGGCGACATAGATCACTCGATTCATCTAGTTTCTTTTCACATAATGATGGGGTTGTTTTTTTTCTTCTCCTTCTCCTTCTTCTTCTTCGTTGTAATGATGACGATTATGATTATTCCCTTAATAATCATTCACACATATGTCGTTGCTGGTGTTGTTGTTGTTTTTCTTTTTAAAAAAAATAGTTGCTATGCATAATTATGTTGTCAAATCTTCTTCTTCTTGTTGTTGTTCTCCTTTTTACTTATTCGCTGTTGTCGGATCTGAATTGATTATCGGATTAATAAACTCTTCTTTTTTTTCTTCAAATCGTTGTTTCCAATTCAATTTACCTGTATATAGATATGAGTGAATGATGTATGCTTGTATTATTGATAGGCACAATATATGCTTTAGGGCAATCTTATACATGGTATAAGTTCAACTGGATTAGAAATGAAAATGTAACTTAGTACCAATGTGTTTATGCTCAGGTATGTAATATACAATGATAAATAATGAAAGTGAAAACAAGTTTTACATACATATAGTCCCCCCTCTCTCTCTGTCTCCCTCTCTCTCTCTTTGGTTGTTTGTTTTTTCCGGGAATAAAAAAAGTGAAAAAAAAAATGATTCTCATTTGATTTTAACAACATAGAAACAGTAAATTATTAGACAAATTTGCTTCAGGCTTTAGGATCATTAAGGATTAGAAATTAAAGGGATTATTAGTATAACTAAATGTTCAAATGAATTAAGTGACTATTTACTTCTTTGGGTTTGTTTGTTTTTTGTCGAATAAATAGAAGGTAATGATGGATCTACTATGTAACAAATGACTTAACCGATCACTTCATCAATGAATAACTTTTGATTTAAACAGTTTCCTCATGTTGTCATTTTGCATGTTTTTAAATGATGTAGACCTTTAGAAGAGAATGAGAACATCCTAGAAATTATAAGTATTTTTAATTAAAGATAGATGGATGGTGACTAGGAGTAGAATCCAAACATGTTCCAAATAAGACGAAACATACGTCCTGGATCCATTGATAACCACCAATCATCTTTGTGATTTAAAAGGAATATCGAGACAATTCACACAGGATATACATATACCAATAACAAACTGATCAATTTCAGTCGTAAACATCAATAGGAAGATTAAAATAAACAATAGCTGAGACATTAATACCATTGGATGCCGGCTCAGTGATCCAGCAGGTTAAGTGTTCGCGCGCGAGACTGAAGGCCCTGGGTTCGAATCCCGCAAGCGGGATCGTGGATGCGCACTGCTGAGGAGTCCCACAATAACAGGACGAAACGACCGTCCAGTGCTTCCAGGTTTTCAATGGTGGTCTAACATCAATCGGTTCATGATCTCAATCAAAAGCTGAGAAAAGTGTTCAATTATCGGTAAATAGTTTAAATTACATCAGCACTTGTATCCTTTATTAATCACTTTTATATGGTTATCATCAATGTAAAATCATTAATACCAATTCTCTTACAATCAATTCGATGATAGTGAATTCCTGTTATGCTCTTGTATTAACTTACTTAACAGACAATGTTATTCGAATAGTAACAATTCGCATATTATGATTACTATCTTGTTTGTATAAACATGTACTCTTGATCATATGATAACTCTAACTAAAGTGTTGGTAGCTTTAATATGGCTTGATGAATTATTCTCTTCCCCATCTATATATGTACTGGAATCCCATTATTAGCCTTTGCCTTACTTAGCTGTGCTTTACTCGATTTGTCTATAAATTTGCCTATGTATTTCCTCTCTCACACACAAACACACATTCCCCCCTCTGCTTTAAATTCGCTCGACATACTTATAGCATTGTGATCTGGGCTATCCACTAATAAACTGTAGTTGCCGCTTCATATTGCCTTCTGATTCCAAATACCGTTGTTGTGATTGATTAACAAAGCAAAGCCACTACATACTT